CTTTATGTACCAGTTGCATTTCTATGCACCACCTGCTCGTGAACAATTGTACCAGTTGCGACTATAGCAGGCTATGTACGACGGTGTCCTACTATAACGCCACTATTACTAGCAGACATCTAGATCACATTTAATGTAAAAATTTCAATCTCTTCTTCTCATTATAATTATTATAATTTTCATGGATTAATTTTATTAGATGAGCCGGTTACGGTAGGCGAGCGGTCTAAGGCATGCACTGTCTTCGCTCGCTCAGATGCCGGGATCGTGGGTTCCAATCCCACGGATGGATGCATGGATGTTTGGTGTTTGTGTGTTTGCGTACAGGTAAAGGCCTTGAGACGAGCTGATAACCAGCCCAAGGAGTCCTACCGAATGTGTAAGTTCTAGTAAACCGAACTGAAACAGAGAGTTTAATGGAAGCAGGCCTAGGCCAAAATTGGGGTTGCAGCACCAAAGGGGAAAAATTATTAGATTGTTCCAACTACAAGGCTTGAATTCAGAACTGGCATTTTTATTGTCTGTACAGCCTCCCTCTTCACACTATGCCTTTGATGTACAGTCATGCACAGTCTGCCGAATAAACTTTCTCACATTCTTCTAAATGATGCGACCAATCAGTTTAGCAATCAATTTTAAGTAGAATTCAAGTATGTTCAATTCTCCTCTGAATGTTACCCTTTCTCCATAAAAAAATGGTCAATTTTCCTACAGCCTGCGATAGCGTATAAAATCTCATTTCTGCTACTAAAATATATCTAAGTAGTTACTATAGGATAAAATATATCTGTTTTGTTTTTAGTTAATTAAGGCTGTTCTCCCATTAGTGCACCCGTTTTCGTGAAACCGATCGCAAGCAGCTAGTCGTCTGAAACCAGTCGCACTCAACGCTTGCTCACTGTAGGGACCAATTGAGCTATTAGCAAAAATCTCATAATAAAAAGCAACCTTACTCATGCGAAACTCTCTATCGCGATGAGACTATGAAACTGAGATCAGTAAGGGCCCCCATACACACACAGTTTGGCGTCCAGTTCGGCCTGCACAGTTGAAGACTGAAAGGCAAAACTGACGTGTGTGGTGCGGCCGGCCAATCGTTTGGACTGTTGGCCTGTGGGAAACCCGTCAGTCCGTCAGTTCTGCCTGCAGGACCGTAGCACGTGACGTGTGTGATTCAACATTATAGGCTGGAAGACAGTGATTGTGGCATGAAGCCTGCCGCTTTATCTGCGCGTGTATGGGGAGGAAAGGGACGGGGTAAACTGTCACAGTTTTGCCTGTAAGGTCTATCGGAAGGCCAAACTGTGTGTGTATGGGGGGCCTAAGAAACCGACTGGTCCGATCGTGCTCAGCTGTGGTTGTAAAGGCCACTGAAAACTGAAGTTTCAACTCAGGAGGAAGAATGTAGCACAGCTGTCAGATATTCGCTTGAATCTCTTAAGTCGAAGCTTGAAGCGTTCAGAGTATATACCAGTATGTCCGGCGGAACACTACTAACAGTCATAATATACATAACTGGCTAAACGTCTGGTCAACACGTGGGCAAGTGCTGTTCTGAGGTGGACACCACTAACGTAATTGTAAGCAGGTGTTAACGTCGAGGCGGACAGCGCTGAGCACTGATAACAAGGAAAAACTTGGGCCAGGCTGGAAATCAATTGACTCCAGTGCAGTTCGTAACTGCCCGCTGTCCCGTCGAGAGAGCTAATGCTCCGTATTTGGGACGTTTCTGGCGGAAATCGCGGAACACAGACCGGAAATCCTGACTGAAATTCTCAGATTCTTTCAGTCATTCCAGGAAAATGCTGGGATAATATGTCTGCATTAACAGAGGCCATGACCACTTCCATTCATGTCGTTATCGTTAATTACCCTCATAACTGCCCTCTAATCCAATGTTATAAAATCACTGCAACTGAAAAATCGTCGTTAATCAGGCGCTCACTTTGTAAGATAGGTTATCATTTTCGACAACGCAAACGTTTCTCAGCCGGTCATTGTAGCCGGGAGGTCTAAGGCATGTAGTGTCTTCGCTCGCTGGGAAGTCGGGATCATGGATTCGAATCCCACACAAGGCATGGATGTTTGGTGTGTGTATGCGATTATTCTGTTTGTGTTGTCCTGTGTTTAGGTAGAGGGCTTGCGACGAACTGATCACCCGTCCCCAAGGATTCTTACCGTTTGAAAAAATTATAAATAAAACTGAGAAATCAGCCCTATGTTCCAAAGTGGAAGCGAGAGAGAAAAAAAGAAACATTTCTCAAGAACTTATAATCCATCAATATAGTCTAAAATAAATTCAAAATAAGGAGGACTATGGAATTATACAGTTAGCATCTAACTTCTATCAGGATTTAAATCGTGACATGTACTTCCAGGCATACACCTATCGCTTTCAGTTCGATGACATATGGGAATTATCAAATCGTTCTCTGTTTGTCACTAATTTAATTTTCTACCTTATTTATTTACTCTTATTTCCGTGTTCGTCGTTTATAAAACAACGCTGTCAGTAGCAGATGGTAAGATCATTACAGGGCCGCGCCATAGCTCAATCGGTTAGTCGCTGGCTTCCCACCGCGGCGGCCCAGGTTCGATCCCGGGGCCTGGTCAAGTGGGATTTGTGGTAGACAAAGTGGCGCTGGGGCAGGTTTTCTCCGAGTACTTCAGTTTCCCCTGCCAATCTTCATTCCACCAATTGCTCCACAATCACCCTCTCCTAACACCTGGGGCTGGTACAATAGGCCAGAGGTGGCCGCAGTACAAGGGACTTAGTCCCACCCCACTAGCAATAAACAAAATCGTAATAATTAACTGAAGAGGATGTGGAAGAAAACGGCTTGGCCTAATTTGAAGCCCTAACCAGAAACTTTCCTGGAGAGACGGAACAAAACCAGGGGAATCTTTTTGAGGATAACTGGTCTTAGGGTCGATACTGAACCCGGTACCTCCTGAATTCAAAGAAGTAGAATGGAGCGTTAACCACTCTACCACTTCATTAAGTTTAATCTTCTAAGCATGAAGAGGATTATAACAGATTTCTTTTGACAATCAACATAGGGGGGACAAAGTGAATGCTTTATACTCGTATTATGTGGCTCTCCTTAATACTCGATATTAAAGACCTTGTACATTCAGGTACACCATGTGGCGTTAACCAATTTAACTGAGTGAACTGCGAATTTGGTGCAACGTTTGGTACAACTAACATGTGCTTCTGATAGAACTGTGGCCACAAGTCTCGACGTATGATGTCATCTACAAGAAGGGCTTTTCCTTAGCTATCGGCTACTTTGAAGAATCAAGCGACTGACATAAGGCCAGAGTTTGTATTGCGGCTACAGATAACAATCACTGAGAACAAGCAGCCTCCGCAGGTCATCTTAGGAAAAAGAAAGTATTCAACAGGAATAATGCTTGAAACAGGGGTGGCCAAGTGTAGTCTATATTCTCTTCCTTGGTATTATGGCGCAACAATAATATATTTTTGATGCTGGTTTGTTTTACGACAAAAGAGAAAACGCAATGACGCCGATGCATTATCAACTAGAGACTGTATATCTTGGATTAGTGAGAAAAGTAGGACTTTTCATAAGGTAGAATCGTTCCATCTCAGACGGAATCCTCTCATCTTCTGCGATGTTCTACATCTCTGCGCCCAACTGGTTTCTAAGTTATAATCCTTTGAGATGTCCTACTTGGTTTAATTCTCATATGACATGACGTAGATTCTTCCTTGCAGATTTCAGGGACTTCCACTACAATGAATATCGTATTGTTATAAACGTGGTCGTAAAGTTATGTCCATAAAAAATGTCTTCAAATTTTAATTTCCCCTGCGTCAATCGTTTTTATCAGCTTCATTTAAATCGCAGTTTCCATACACATGCGTTATTACTGGCATAATTTGTACAACTGTGCTTTTATTGCACGTATTTAACATATTCCGCCGGTCACGGTAGCCGAGCGGTCTAAGGTATGTACTGTCTTCGCTCGCTCGGAAGGCGGCATCGTAGGTTTGAATCCCACACAAGGAATTGATGTTTGGTATGCGTATGTGTTTATTCTGTGTCTGTGTTGTCCTGTGTTTACGTATAGACATTGAGACGAGCTCATCACTCGTCCAAGGGGTCCTACCGTCTGTAAAATGATCATGAAACTGAAAATCAGAGGCAAGGGTCCAAGAGGGCTGTAGAGCCAATGTGGGGGAGGAAAAAAAAACATATTCCGTAATACTGACGTACGTATACGTTCCTAAACGTAACAGGTTAGGTTACTTTACGTTGAAGTTAGGTTAGCTTACAGGCATAAATATATTTCCTTTGGCTCTTCTCTAAATTAGCTAAGGAACTCAGAACGGAAAGGGTTAATAATCTGCTGACAATGCTGAACACATTGCATTGTATTATCCAAATTCGTGTCATGACCGTAAGTGACATCGCAGCTGGAAGAAATACGAATAATTGCGACAATAAGTTGAGTGGGATAGGGATCAGAGCTGCAGGAGACTGCTTTAAGATACCGTCTAGGATCTCGGCTAGAGAAAGTGGGATAAACGTGGGAAACCCGCTATGAAAGCTGCTCCAGCCCCTGTACTTCCAGAGTTCGAGAAAGGGAAAATAACTACGCCGCAAATTTGTTTAACATGATTATCGGACAATCTGCTTCGCCAAGAAACCTGAAGTTTTCAGCTACCCTGTTCTTCTTACATTGATTGTGCCATCCATCTGCATGTATCCTTATATTCACTTCTTTGAGTACGCCTATGAATATCAAAGTTCTGGGACCCTGTATTCTTACATTCTGCATACGTGCCGTCTTCTATGTACGTAATTTATACCATTTCTCTTTTCATCTACTTTATTTGTAGCTCCTATGCGCTTTCTAATTTTTCATTTTGTAATCTGTGTCGTAGTTACTCTTGATTGTGATAAGAAATCGCGTGTTCGCAGTTTAAATTCTAGTATACAAGCAGTGCACATGAAAAACTTGGTTCTTACCTTCAAGGAAACTTTCACGTCTCCGTTACCAAGCTCACCGGGCTGAAGATGAATAGTAATACAATCACTGATTGATCTGGAAAAGAAATGAAAACAATAAATATGGTTGTAAATATCATGGGACAACAATTTAATGTTACAATGAAATGCTTTCAGAAAATGAATAAACCAATTAATGGCTGCAGCCTGCCTTCTGCCAGTTACCCTGTAAGTCATATAATAACAGGCACAAAATGGTAAAGTTGTTCTTGTGTTTAATTAGTTAAGCACTATGCCATGATGACATATTGAGGAGTGGAGGTACAGCTCCATCATTCTTGACCTAGGCATTAGATGGAACTGAGTGGTCAGATTCACGCCCCTGGGGCTCTCCTCCAGGGGAAAGGGACCCGATACCCATTGGATAGGAGGCTGAGTGGGTCCCAGAGCCGGTCTGCACGCTGTGGAGCAAAGAAAATTCTTGCAATGCTGGGAATAGAACCGGGGTCATCTAGCGAGCACTCCGTCGCCATATCGACTCTATCTCGGCTCCCTGTCACATAATAACACAAAGAGAAATGCAAGTACAAGCGTACAAGTCACGAATTCCCATCCCATGTGTAATTCAATTCATTATCTATTCAGTTCATTAAGGTGAATAAGGGGATGAGAGGGGGTTTATGGCTTAGCGGCTCAATGGTTATTCTTTAATAAAGAAAACATTGCGTAATATATAAATCGTCATGAAAAATCATTGAAATCTTGTATGTGTACGATGGACATCCCTAGCTGTGAATCTATATATCCGGGAGTTCACCTTCAAAATATACGTCTTATAAATTAGACTGTGGGTTAGATTGAAAAATAATCCCTAGCCATTCTTCGAATTTCTATATATAATGTGTGAGGTATTTCCGCTGTTAAGTATTCGAACTAACATTTTACCAGAGCAAGCAGACATTATGATCGACTTGCAATCAAGGCGTACAGTTAAAGTGTTATACGATCCTATTTATATCAGTACGCTAATGGTACCTGTTTTGTTTCCTTGAAATAATATCACTTATATATATATCTTGCGTTCTTTAACTACGTTGTTCCAACAGCAGAATTTATGTAACGTAAGATTACGGTGTGGGCTGTCTAGCTAAAGCAACACAACAGCGAAGGGACTCACGTTTTCTACATACACTGAAACAGAATTTATCATACTCAGACATAGGAAACAGAATGAGAATTCTCTTCGGGTTAACACGTTAGATACGGAAATCCAGGTAAATTATTATTATTATGGCTCTATATCCATTTGGACCTTGGCCAATTTTTCAGTTTCTTGGTCCTATACACAGTCGGCAGGACTCCTTTGATGGGGGATCAGCCTGTCGCAAGGTCTCTACCTACACACAGAATAATATGAACAAAGAATAAACGCAAGCAATACAGACACCCATGCTCTGAGCGGGATTTGAACCCACGATCCCAGCGTTCGAGCTAGCGAAGAGAGTTCATGCCTTTAGACCGGGCGGATACTGTGATCGGTAAATCCAGGTAAATGCTTACAAGAAAATAACCATGATCTCTGCATCTTGTGCATCGAGATGACTCTCGATAGCAAAGGAATATACAACAACTTATTAACTTCAATATTATGATCTTCTGAGATGTGACGCTATGTAATTTGGTGGACAGGTACCAAAGTTTAGGGGGACCAACTGTCAACGCTCTGGTTCCCGTCCACCAAATTACATATCGTCATATCGCCCCCCCAAAAAACAGTAATCGTGAGAGAATCTCAAATCTCAATCACTGTTTTTATTGGCATTAAAAATTAAATACCAAAATTTTTAAAACAACCCAACGTGGACTAGATGTGAAAGAGTCCGCTACCTCCAGCTGATTGCGCGGAATCCCCTATAGAAAGGGAAGGCTCAGATTCGCTTAGTGGGGGGTGGAGTCCAACTGGGTCCACTCGGCACGGCGGCCACTGATTGGCTTATTGTACCTGCCCTGGGTGATTAGGATGATGGGGAATTTGGTAGAATGAAGACTGGCAGGGGAAACCAAAGTACTCGGAGAAAACCCGCCCCAGCGCCGCTTTGTCCACCATAAATCCCTCTTGACCAGACCCGGGATCGAACCCGGGCCGCCGCTGTGGGAAGCCAGCGACTAACCGCTTGAGCTATGGCGCAGCCTCCAAGGCTCAGATGGTTTTAAAGCTAAAAAATCCCTTTTCCTTCATAAAAATACAATTTATACGAAACCTGAAATTCAAAATTTCCCACACATCACAACTTCTCCAGGCTCGCACGCATCCACGCCCCGTGACAAATGTTACTGATGTTCCCCATACATTTTTACCCATCGACTTCCTTTTCCCCGGAGTCATCATAATGCGAAAACGGCAAGTCCGATCGTTAGACATAAAAAGTTAAAAATTACACATTTCAGTAGACTAAAAATCTCGACTAGTCAAGCAAGTACTTCGAACTTCTTTCGTATCCTGCAATGCAATTCTTTTTTTATGTTATATGTACATGTCGCATAATGAAACGCTGTAATCCATAGCTGGAGTATTACATGAAATGCTAACGACAAGGTAATCTTCTTATTAGTAGGTACATTTATTATTATTATTATTATTATTACTCTACATCGATTTGTTTGGCCTTGGCCGCTTTTTCAGTTTCTTGATCCTATATACAGTCGGTAAGACTCCTTGGACGGGGGATCAGCCTATCGCAAGGCCTCTATCTACACATAGAACACAAACAGAATAAACGCACACAATACAGACATCCATGTCTTGANATAATGCGAAAACGGCAAGTCCGATCGTTAGACATAAAAAGTTAAAAATTACACATTTCAGTAGACTAAAAATCTCGACTAGTCAAGCAAGTACTTCGAACTTCTTTCGTATCCTGCAATGCAATTTTTTTTTATGTTATATGTACATGTCGCATAATGAAACGCTGTAATCCATAGCTGGAGTATTACATGAAATGCTAACGACAAGGTAATCTTCTTATTAGTAGGTACATTTATTATTATTATTATTATTATTACTCTACATCGATTTGTTTGGCCTTGGCCGCTTTTTCAGTTTCTTGATCCTATATACAGTCGGTAAGACTCCTTGGACGGGGGATCAGCCTATCGCAAGGCCTCTATCTACACATAGAACACAAACAGAATAAACGCACACAATACAGACATCCATGTCTTGAGTGGGATTCGAAACCAGGAGCCCAGTGTTCGAGAGAATTAAGAAAGTTCATGACTCAGACCGTGCGGCCACTGTGATCGGCATTAGTAAGCATTTGGTTTTGCGAATACACGCCACACTGGAATGAAGACTGCGGGTTTGTCGCGCCGGATCCATTCCTTGAATCTATGCTGTACAGTTGTATAGAAGCTTCTTGCTTCATGTGAATCCATATAGTTAGACAAAAGAAACAGAGGAATGCGTTTGTGATTAGTAGTTCAGGTATAGGACTCTGTCTCTTTACTTTACTTGATAAACTGCTCCGTCATGATACGTCAGCATGACGAAGTTGATTATTTTGTCTGGAAAAGATGGAGGAAAGTAACATGTAAAAAACCTAGATTACTCATTAGTGTAATTATTAATGCTACGGTTACACCACTGCTTTTCCAAAGCTGAGTACGTCAGTCTTTCTGAAACATTATACGAGTAGGAGTAGCATTATTAGGCGTTCTTTACGAATTAAAAAGAATGCTTTATGTAGAAGTCATGTCTCTTCGTCTGTCCATCTGTCTATGACCTTGCATCAATGCCTAACCATTTTTTTTCTCAAAATTGAACTTTGCAGACTCACCAAAAACTGTCTGGCGATTCCAGTTCTTGTTAAAATCAGACAAAAATCCCGGATACTTTACACAAAGACGTATGTGCATTTCTACATGCATCTTCAGCCTAACTCTTTAAATATTTATCGGAACAAAAAGATGTTTAGAAAGAAACTACAGAGAAGTGACATATATTCTTTATGTCTAACATATCCTTTTCTGCTAACTTTATCGTATCGATATACAGCGTGTACCAAAATGATTAGAGTGGTTTCAAGCGGCCATAACGGCTTTGGAAATGCATGCAGAAGGATGTTTCCCATATGGAACGAAACAGCAGTTATTCAAGTTTTGATCGCAAGCGCAATCCCACTCCCCACCATTCTCTCTCGGTTCGTGACGTTACAAAGAGAAAATGGCGACTCCAGAGTAGAAAGCGTTGTGTGTTCTGCAGTTTACGAAGCATGAATTAGTTGTTTCTGTTTAGCGAGCATTCCGGCGACAATTTCAGAGTGATACCCCGTCTGCCAACAGCATTAGGCGTTTGTATCAGCAGTTTCAGACAAAGGGGTGCCTTTGGAAAGGGAAAAGTGCAGGATGTCCGCGTGTCAGAAGAAAGTGTGGAACGAGTGAGATAGTCCTCTCTTCGCAGCCCGAAGAATTCTGTGCGCCATGCGAGTTGTGAACTGGAGATGTCGACTATGACTGTGAGAAGGGTGTCGCGAAAGGGCCTGGAAATGAGGCCCTTTCGTCTTCACTTGGTGCAGTTTCTTCAATCATTTTGGTATACGGTGTAATTACACAAAAGCTTTTTTTTTTTACCTGCATCATCTCATATCTCAAGAAGAATCGTCGTACCGATTTAGATGACATTCTATATTGGAGGTCGTTGCAAAAACCTGTCGATGATTATATCTGTCAGTTTATGACCTAGTATCAGGTTCTAAACGTCACCTTTTTAGTGGAGTAGCTTACATTCAAATCATTGGCATTAGAGCCGAAATTTTGCCTTGGCCTCAACTAACTACAACCAACCTAATGAAAGATGAAGGTTAAAAACGCAATTAGTACGAAGGAAAGCCTGTTACTGTACGAAATTCCGGGATACTTTTATCCATCTTCATAACCCATAACATTATCGTCACATTTTCTTCTTGGTCTTCCATCAAGTCTTCTTCTCACGAGGTGATCTGTATCAATCATGCAGAGTCTTTTACGTCCAAATATCGCCTGAAATATTTTTTTTGCTAATTTTTTGTTTATCTGTTGGTCTCCAGGCCGATATTC